TATGAGGAAGGAGACAATACGCGCACTGGAACCAACTTAGCCATGATGTGCGAGAATATCACTATTGTTTGCGAGAGTTTTTGCAATTGCACATAGCCAACATGGTACCTTCCCTAGGAAAACCAGTCGCGAAGATTAATGCTTACAACATTGAAGAAAAGTTGGACAAAAATAAAACGAACATCAGACTAATCTTTCTTCAATGACATCGACGATCAAGGTCATAATCTGTAATAATCACAAATATTCTGTTACAGTTTCAAACCATTAAATATGGAACAATCTGTCAACCTATTTGAATGTGTAAAAGCACTTACTAATTTTGTAAGAAATGAAAAAAAACTTCACACTCTGCAGATTGACAAATAATCCTATGAATTGTCTACCCTTTTATCTATTTCACCTTCTTCTGATGTTGTGAACGAAGTAATAGTCTCTTCACCAAAACCATGTTTATTTCGAGCAGCTACTGATATTTTATATGTTGTGTATGATGTGAGATTGTGTATTTTGTATTCATTTTCGTTATAGTCGGTAATATTCTGGATGACAAAGTTCTCTTTCTTCAGTCTAATCCAAAATCCTGTACGATTTCCATCTCCTACGTTGTTAGGATCCGCCCAAGATATCCTAGCACTTCTTGCCTTGATGTTAGTGACCATGAGTGTTGTAGGTTTATCTGGTAACAGAGCTAGAAAGAAAGGATTTATAGTAAAATAACATTTTAATCTGTGTGTGCCACGATACACGTGCTATAGACACATCAGAAAATGACTGAGGGTATCGGAGATTTGAGTAAAACATTCCTAAATTATAAGTGTGTAAACGTGTAATGACAGTCAATTACATAATAATAGAAATAATTTAATTTGTTGATTTATATCCATTTGTTGATTAATAACTTACTAGCTCCACAGATTTCGATTCTCATACACGGTTGGCCAGCATATGATAATGGAATAAACCGCAAAGCTTTTGTTGTTATGCCTTGAGGAAAATCTTGTATGGCTGCATGATTGTAAGCATTTTTGTTTCCCGAGATCTAAAGACAATAGTAAAAGCACAACTTTAAATAATAAATTTAATAATTGCAGGCGTATAAAATAAAGAAATTTTTCTTTAAGTTATACCGTTATACCCCGCTTCAAACGTATATATTAGCAAATGAGTATAAACTGAAAAATAATATATAGCAATTACCGTTTGGTTCCACGCTGATCTCCAATTTATCAAATCAACAGTGTAATTCAAGTTATATGTGGCCACCCACTTGGAACTGGTATTATCCCCAAATATCGCAACATAATACAAAACATAAAATCTTCCAAAGTCCAATTGAAGATAATGTTTGCCATCCGAGACAGGAGCACACCAAGAACTTCCACTAGATATTCTTGCATCAGAGGGACTGCGACTTTCTGAAGAAGCTGAGGCAGTGAATGACGAATCTGGAAATCTTTGTTTGTCTTCTAACAGTGGCCGTGGACAAATATAACCTAAAATATGGAAATTAAGTGTTACGAATTTTGTTTTTATCTCTTTCTTTCTTTTCTTCCATAATCTAAGTCACATGCTCGTCATCCTTTTTGTAAAAACTTACATTTTAAGTATGAGAACTTGGAACAACTTTGGGAAGAATTGGTAACCGAACATTGAGATAATTTTGTATCACCATCATTACACACTATACTTTCAGAAAATTTTACATCTTTCAAGTCCGATGGAGCGGCTTTTTGAAGCAGTGAGTTTGCTTCTTTGTAACCCAATTGACGACACACAACATCCTTTGCGTTTCCTAAAGTTTGCCAACAAGCATTCTTGATCGCACTGTCAGTTGTAATTTTTACAAAACCTTCATTTGGTAAAGATGAATATGACAACGACACAGCATCAACTACAAAAGGAAAACAAGGAAAACGTCGATCAATTCTTCACAGTTTATTTGGCTTGCATGGCAACCTTTGAATTTCGCCAAAACTGTTAAATGGAACAATTTGGAAAGTTGCAGTGTGAAACAATAGATGATTCTAGTTATAGACTAAATTTTGATGTAGGCAAGAAGAAGGCCATCACCACAACTAGAAAGAGCATGTTATAATTAAAATTAGTAAAATTGCAAAGTTTGTAAAACGCGGGAAATATAGCCCTGCGAAATCTGCAAATATTAATACAAAATTGAAAATTTCGTAGGGCTATATTTTTCGCATTTTACAACATTTCACGGCCAAACTATGCAAATTTACTAATTTTAACATGCTCTTTCTAGCTGTGGTAATGGATTTTGGTTGTCTTGATCAAAACTTAGTCTACAGCTGAAATCATCTATTGATCAATAAGCGAATGAGTAAATGTGCTGGTGGATTATGGTAAATTGATTTATGCCAATGAGTGTTCGCCATTGATTACTGTCGCATTTACAATAGTAGTAGAAAGTTTCAGATTTGACTTCCACTACCGTTAGCATATTAATGAATCAGATGCGTGTAATCTACACGAATCAAGTGCAGGTGAGTGACTAACAGGTAGCAGTAGTGGAAGTCAAATCTGAACCTCTCTATTGTCATTAGCCATACATACCGCAAATTTCTTTAGAAGGTGTTGTAGTGTTAATACATTGATATTCAAAGTAAATATATTTTGTCAATCCAGGACATGGATCACCAGGAAACAACTTGTCATTCACAGTTATATTACACTCATGTTGACCATCACATTGTTTCTTAACAAGACATGTTACATCAACTTCACAACTATAATCATCACTCAAACCACATGTCTTTGTGGTAGACAATCCACGGTACGATGCAGTCTTGACTACCATGTACTGTTTTTTAGGACAATTGGCATCCTTTGTCATATTTCCATGACATGTTACTGAACCTGGAACAAGGACAAAAAATTAGAAATAACGAGCACTAAATATCAAGTAGGGCAAGAGATTTTGTTGAACGGCATAGATAGCGATAGGCCTACTCTGGGGCGGTAAATCGCCTTAAATCGCCCTAAATCGCCTAAAATCGCACTAAATCGCGGGTTAAAATTGTCAAATTTCTCCTAAATCGCCTAAAATCGCATAAGATCGCTTAAAATCGCCAACATGCATTCTGCTTGATACATTCAGTCCATGTACTCAAGTTTATCAATTGCTGCTATTTTACGGGCAAATCATGTAATCCAGGTGCTTTGCAATGAAAGTAATGCAACATGAATTAGCAATCAGATAAGTGGATTAGGCTGACAATATTTGGTCACTCAATAGGCACCGGTCATTGACAAAAACAGAGCCTTTTCTGCTTTATGCAGACTTTACAATAATTAGGTAATTCTGGGATCTGAAAGACCCATAGATCCGATACACTGCAAGCAACAAAATTGAACTAGTTACCAGAATGAGCTAATTTCATTATTGGTGTAAATGGAGGCTGGGCTACAATTTATATGGACTATGGAGGCTGGGCAACAAATTAATCTATAATCTAGCTACATTGCTGTTAAGCCTGGTTCACATGTCTGTGATATGCCTGCGACGTCATTGTTTACAGCTGTTGATGCATTCTTTTGTGAATTATTTGGTTGAACTGCTAAGACAATAGCCCGCCGACACATCGCAGACACATGTGAACCAGGCTTTAAGCCTGGTTCACACTGATCGTAATTCATCGACGATCTATTGTATTCTTTTCCGACAGAGAAAGCATTTTACACACCAATGATCAGTGTGAACCAGGCATTAATTAGAACAACAGTAGGAAACTACGAAAGTCAATGAGTACGAGTGTTGATTTATATAATAAAGTCATCGTGTAATTTGTGCACTGTTGCATGTAAGATCGAGCACTGCATTGTATACAATGGTTGTACTTCGACATGTGCATGGTTATACTCTAGCTCCTAGTTATAATTATAGTGGCTATCAAACGAAAAATATACGTGAGGTTATGAGCGATTTGCAACTCTCGTCTATTAAATTTTCCAGACCTGTATATACAATAAACAGTAAAACAATGATTACATCTTACATACCATACAATAGATCTTTTGGTGTTGTTTGTTTGCAGAACCTAAAACCACGATGTATAGTGCGCCATTTGTTTAACAATTTAATAACACTGTACTATTTTGGTTTTAATTTTAAAATAATTTAGAATTCCTACCATTTATATACGATATACTTCATGTAATTTAAACATTACGGCATTACTCCGACAGTTTCCGAATGCGTGACGACACTGTTTCTGGATATGGCACTGGGATAAAACTGGGATATCATATGATGTAGATATCAAAAAAATTATAAATATGTTTGTAGCATGAAGAAAGCACGAGATTTAAACAGTTTAAATAAAATGCAAGCTAAATAAAGAAGTTTTGACATGATACAAAACAAGACAATTTCACTTACAAGGGTGACAAGGTAAATTATGGGATTATAGCCTATTCAGTTATACTGTATAAATACATTGTGTGTTTCTACTCCCTACCCCTTGTGATTTTTTTGGAAATCTAATATTTATTATATTTTGCAATTTTAACTCGATATGTGTAGTGCATGCCCCTTAAGTAGAGTATATTAACTGTTTACAATATTTGTGGTGTATATAAATGTAGCTATGCAGGGTGTTAGCCAGAAAAAAAATTTTGTCCGTTAAACGTAAATTGGGAAAGTTTTAACTGGACTTAGCTGAATATTTTTCCCAAAATTCTTGGCGAGCGGGGGGAGGTCACCAAAAAAAATTTTCAGGAGATATCAAAGAAATATTCCGTAATTTCCACCAAATTCGAAAAATTTTTCACAGAATATTGAAATTTAAAAAGTTCCCCAATTTCGACCAATTTCGCATTGATTTTTGCCCGACCGTTAAAATTTGGGGGGACACGTGCTAGTTTTCCAGTAGACCCAGTTGGGAAAGCCCTCAATTGGGAAGAGTCCGTCAAACGGACAGCATATGGGCTAGCTAACACCCTGCTATGACCCCCAAGATGAACCCCAATGGCTTCTAAATAGAGAATGGGTGAAAAATTCATGAATATTGAGCTTTATATGTGAATCAGGTTAAATACAATAGTTAACCTAGCTTTATATAAAATGTACATACATGTTCTAATAATTGTATTTTGCTTCATACAATGCATATGTGTGTGGAAACATTACATTATTATTCAGCTCACTCCCCACATTGGGGCTTTTCAGTGATCGATTACATCAAGTACTATGATTACTTATGTTAGCCTAGACTATTTATCTTTACAACAATGAGGATATGATATTACTTTCCTAACTTTGTTTATCCTAACCCACCCTGCCAATTTTGCCCTGTGGGAGGAAACCGGAGCAAAATATAGAATTCAATTCCTTTGAAAACACCTAAATTGCAATCCCTAAAATTTAGAATTTTTTCTTAAATCGCCTAAAATCGCACTAAATCGCAGTGCTTGAAAGTCCCAGTTTTTCCTTAAATCGCCTAAAATCGCCCAAAATCGCATTATATCGCAGCGATTTAAGGCGATTTACCGCCCCAGAGTAGGCCTAGCGATGAAATTCAGCATTATATGAAATATTTGGAACAACTATAGAGTCTTGCTCGTGATTTATTTAATAATGAAAATCTAATTGCACGTCGAGTTCAATAAGGCTCTGTCTTCGGACCGCTACGTTTTATTT